CTCTTAATATTTATTTAAACTGTATCTTCATTTGCATGCAATTCTTTTTTAAACAATACTGGACTTTTTATTTTCATCTTCTTCTCTCCTACAAAGATGAGAAACTTGAGTATGATACAAGATATTGATACTGAATAGCTCTTCTGTAGCACACTTCTTGTGTCCTAATCTAGACTAAATCAAGGGCTGTCCCCCATCTTTTGGATGCTCTAGATGGTTTGCTCAAAAAGTAGTTCTTGATGATACTTAAAAATACAGTCTGTGCATGATGGCCTAATGTTAAGTTTATACAGCCTATATATAGATAACCAAGAACTCTTGTTATGATCAAGCTTTTGGGTTGTATAGCCTCTCCAGTCCCCCACAATATTTCACAGTCACTGTCTCCATCCCATCAACTAGTCCAGAGCTCTTACTGGACTTCTCCTGTTCAGATACAGAACCATTTGTAATTACGTTTTGTGGTTTATTCTGATAAAATTTATTTATTTGACTATATTTTCTTTGGTATACATAGTGCCATTTGTCTGCATAGTCCAATCTACCATCTCTGTATCAGCTAGACACTAAACATTCTATCACCTCTGTATAATCTATACACTGACATTTCAGTGTCCCTTTGGAAGAAAAAAAAGCGATACATGCAGACCCGCTTCCAGAAAGAGGGTGACATACCTGGGGAATTCCTGATGGAATTCATGCTTGCCACTCTTCTGAAGAATCATTACCTTCAAGGCACAATGGAAAGAGAACACTACGAGATAGCAATGTACCAAGATACCAAATCAAAACAAGTGTAGGTTCCGTCACAACAGAGATAAGATGGCATTTGAAAAGAGACAGACTGACAGTATGGCTGGAACAACTGCTTGTGGTTATTCAAGATTTCTGTACCGAGAGGCTGTGTCAGGAAGGGAATGAACTAAGGAGCACAAGGACGCTACGGAAGTATAAAAAGTCCTTTAACCTTTTGCACACACTGCAGAACCTTGTAATATTTGCACTTACACCCTTCTGTGAGAAGGGAGAGTCTGTTCTTACTGCTGTGGAGAAGAGAGGGAAGCTTTCAGGACACAAAGCCAGTAGCTATTGACTTGGGTCTGACAGTGGCTAGCATTTTATCTGTTGGCTGCCACCCACTTCCTTCCCTTTTGCGTGGCCTCTAGTTGGAGCGCCTTCTTTCTGCATTAAATATGATGTGGCATTAGGCACAGCAGAATCCAACAGCCACAATGCAGTACGTAGCAGGTATTCATTATTATTTATTTGTATTACCAGAAGTCTTGGGAGGCCTCACCCTGGACCACTATTCATTATGCTGGGCCATGAATAAACACACAACAAAAAGTAGATGTCCTTGAATTCCATACAAAGAGACAACAGAGAAATTATGTCAAAGTACAACTGCAATGACACAGTACTACTGTGATAAGCACTGGCATTAATATGCCTGCAATGTAACTGTTGTCTACTTGGACTGTTTTAAGCTTCACAGTACATAGAACTTTGAAGAAGATATTTAAAGGAAGATAGTGAACAGTTCTGTTTATGAAGAAGTCAACCAATACATGAGAGGCAGCTGAGGAGAAAATATCCGGTGTGATCTGAAAATTTAACAACCGAATAATGGAAGCTGGCATCACGTTGATCAAAAGCAGAGTCAACCTCTTGATACTGAAGGAGGGGTATCAGGTAGAAGTAGTCTTGGTGGGCCTTGAAAATAAAGACAGATAGCTTATCTTTATTGCTTTAAACTGAAGGAGGAAATTGAAAATACCGAAGGAGTAAGTTTGGAAACTGGTATTTACAGCAGACTGCCACTTTTGACTAGATACCGAGCATGGCAAGACTGTATTTGTCAAGGCAAAAGAACAAGATGTTCTAATAAAGACATGATCCGTGGAAAACCTGGATGAAAAATATAATTGTCTGACAGAGAAAAAAGATCATCCTTAAAGGATTGGAAAAAGATTCCCAAAACTCAGATTTCACCTGGATTTGATGACTTAAAACAAACGACAGCATGATGGTGTCATTCACAGAGGATGCAGAGAGGTTTTTGTGGGGCCCTCAACCTAAGTATGAAAAAAACTACTAACAAAAGACCAAGAGTTGTAACTGGAAATAATGAACTGAGGGCACTACTGAAGAAAATTTTCGTGCATTAGATCCTCTTAGGAGTGGAAAAGAAGATAGGAGGAAGTATACGTAACACATAAAACATTGGTTTTCCTATAAATACTGTGAAATGAGAAATTCTTTAATGACACATTTATTACTAAGTTATTACAACTATCTACGCTACCACATTTGGACTTCCAAGGGTTGAAGAAAAACAATGTTCATGACGTTATGACACGATGGGTGCCTCATTTGACAGAAACAAAAACATGCTCATCCAGCTTGAAGACGGGACAGTCACGATACAATCCAAGCACAAACAGCAGCAGAGAAAAAGATCTCACAAGTTAAACTTACAACAAGTAACATGCTGAATGGCCAGGCACATTCCTCTGCTCTTCCTTCTTAGTACACAGAACCAGGGCTGTCACCTCGGTTTGCCACTAAAGGAAACTTACTCTCTGTTGCTGTAGTTTGGTATTCCAGCTCCTGAAGTACTCCCAAGCCCACACAATGTGTAGGTGCGTAGCAAATGCCCACTCCCTACATTCCACAACATCAACTCCTTCTCTTGATATCTGCTTTCTTGCTGTTCTCCTAGTTTCAGTCATTTATGGTGTCAGGCATGGGTTCAACCAAAGAAACAATTGGATCAGGTGCTCGACAATGGCAGTTAGCAGCAGTGAGCAGTGGAGAGCTGGTTATAGCAGGAGACAATTCAGAGTTCCTTTTCTTCCCAATAATATTTGTAGTAGCACTACCAGAGGCAGAACAGAGCTGTGCCCTGATACTATCTCCCTCAAAGTGCTGGGAAGTTGCCATCACAGGAAGGAGCAGCAGTCACACCTAGGTTATCTGCCTCTCGGTGTTAATGACTGAAAAAATTGGATACATATGAAATATCCAGAGGATTCCCTATATCCCACTCACTAGCATGTCACTTCCCTTCCTTTTCTCCTCTGAAACTAGATCTATTCGGAGGCACTTCTTCTGATCTGGCTCACGGCAGGGCAGGCATGGCTAGAGGGCTGTGTTTGGGGTTGTTTTTTGCAATCACCTAATCTCCCTCTCATTTTCTTTTTTTTTTACCCAACTCAGTGCAAGTGAGAATAAATATGGACAATAGGATTAAAAGGTAGAAACAGTAAACCATTAGGTCTAAACATCTGAAAAGCAGCGTATGCTGATCGAGATTTTTTAATGCAAAAGGGCCGATTGAGATTTTTTATGAAAAATGAAACCATCAATGCTCTCAAATCTTGATTTCATTTAATGTTGAAAAAAAATCTCAACTTCATTTTATATTTCAAACTCTCAAAAGAACCACTATTAAGTTTCTTAAACTAGAACTTGGAAAATTCCCGTCTTGTAATGAACATAATGAAATTACGTTTTGAGTTCTGTTGAAGATGATACATTTCAAAATCATTAAGTTCTGTGTTTGAATGAGAAATTGTGCCATCTGCTTAGCACTAATTGTAGTTTAGCATACATAAGCCATTGTCCTCTGTTCTTAGTTGGAACTGTTATTTTGAATCCCCAATTTATACAGGTAATTCGCGAATAGTCACTGAGTCTTCTTCAAAGCCCACATACTCCCCTCCAACAGAAAAAAAGAATTTGACAAAAACAGCTACCGGAAGTTTTAAACTTAAATCTATCATATATTTAGTTCAATGAAAAATACCAGTACCTATGCATTTAATTCTCCTTTCAGGCATCTTTTTGCCATACCTTTTCTGGTTTTGGGGTTTGTTTTGTTGTTTTTGTCTTTTTTTTAAATTGGACTCTCTAATCTGCTTTTGATCTGAGTTTATGATTTCTTCTTTGCTCTTGCTCCTTCTTCAAATTACTTTCATTTTATGCTGCTCTTGTGACAAGCAAAAAAAAAAAATAATCCTACCCTCGTTATTCTTTACTCACCAATTATTATCTGTGTCCTTGCTCCATGAGAAAGAATCTCTAATTGTCCTTACATACAACTCCTGTAGACTTTTACAGCCCCTTAATAATTATTCACAAATTCAGTAACATTTCCAGTTCTTCCATTTTTCAGATACTAAACCCCCATTGAAAACATTCTTGTATTTGAATACCAGAAAGGAAATACAGCATCATAAAAAAGGACATGGAGCTTATAATACCCCTTTTGTTAAACAGGGAAAACACCTACATGTAGTTTTTGCTCATTTGTATATAAAAATAGGAGTCATAGCAATGACTGTACCCATAGCTACAGGAAAATAACTTCCTCCTTAATCCAAGCATAGATATTTATAGTTATTTTGGGTGAATCCACTGACATATGATATGGGTAATTATTATTGATTAAGCACAAAGTACTTAGGTACAATAAAATATGTAGTTCCTGCCCAAGACTGTAACAAATCAGCATGCATGCATGATCAAATCCACTCATAATGCCAGCTCAGTTTCATTTAACCAAGTTACACTGACACAAGTATAAGTGTATATTTATTAGCGTTCCAATGTTCAACTCTGCAAGACAATTATGCTAGTAAATTGGTTTGAAATATCTACACAAATACGGGTGGTATAAATAGTTTCTGTAGATCTATAAATTTCAGAAAGTTTATGGGTGAAAATACAGAGCAAGTCAGAGACACTATTCTGAAAATAAAGAAATCAAACAAATTAAAACTCCCTGCCTAATAGCAGTACATAAGGACTCCAGGTTCACATGGTGAATTACTCAAGAAAAATGAAATCCTTAATGGATATATTGTATATATTTTCTAAAAAGAACTGAAATCAGCTGACTTAAGTCAAACCTCTTGATTCACCTTTTTATCATTATTAGTTTGTCAACATCAGTAAAGACTAACTATTGAAAAATTCAATCATTTCAGTGTACTTACAGCTGAATTTTCTCATCATGTGACCAACTATCCACAAAGCCTCAGTGCCATTAAGAAGTTTTGAGGAATATATTATTTGGTACTGCCAAAAAAACATAATCAAAAGAATGCATGTAAATGATATTAATTTTCTAATTAGAAATGTTTTATGATTATTTCATGTCTAAAGTACATTTGGGGGAAAAGCAGGACTTACATTATCCCAAAAGGCAGGTTCCAGCACAATCAATGATACACTGACAGAATTCACAGTAAGGAGTCACAGTAGGGTCCTGATCTTGCAACTGAACTTTCACAAAAAGAACCCTGCACTATTGCAGAATCTCCTTAATTTCAATAGGGCCCTACCCACACATAATCAGTTACAGAGTCCGCCTATGTGGGAGTAACAACAGCAAGAACAGGACCTGTTCCTCCACACACCTGCAAAAATATTGGGATAAAAAAAAATAAAATAAAATTAGTAACATGCAGCAAAACCTACTGATAGCCTGTTTTATTACAGCATTTAGCACATAATAAAGGAGTTCTATAGATCTCTAAGTTGCCTATTATTTGTAGGAATTTTTAGCTCCTTCTTTTAAGAATGTTGGCTTAAAATTGCTTATGGATTTTACCTGTAGTGGCAGCACACTATGGGAGCTTTTACTTATACGTATTTGAAATATAATTTTTTAATTATTATTTTCTAAACATTAATTATCCTAGTTTCTTTGGTCTATGATGCAGGTCGCTTTTTAGTGCTTAAGCCTTCTTAAAATCTGTCCCACAATTCTGGGGACACAGCATAGGCCTGGGAATTTATTGAGGTCTTCACGACTGTGAAGGCATCTGACCACATATGGCAGCATCCAAGACCAAGGTCTTCAAAAATATGTTACAGAAGCTAGTTTAGTACTAGTCATTTTTAGACTAAAAAGGGTCAGCTTTTTTAAACAAAAAATCGTTATGATAATCAACTATAATTAATTATTTGCTAAGTTTAAGCTCTTAGTGAACGCTATTTAAAACACAGGAAGCACACAACATGATGTTAAACAAGAATATACCACCACTTTGCTGTTCACACAAAACTTAACATTCATGATTTGACCTTAATGTTCTTATTAAAAACACATCTATGTTGATCTTTGAAAGGAAAATATTGTAAGTTACAATGCTTCTATATATTATAAACCATTTTAAAACAGGTTATCCATGGGTGCCATGAAATAATATTTAACTGGTGACAGTATGCAAGAGTACTGGTGATAAAGGTTACGAGAACAACCACTAGATCCTAGAAACCTGCAGAAGACGTTTCTTCATTGCTTTAATAGCATTAGGAAAGCAATGAGGTTTTTCTACAAAAAAGCTGGGACCAGATGAAAGGATTTGAGAATCTAACAGAAGAAGAACCAAAAGTTCCATATAAATAGAATGCAGTCTTTTTTTTTTTTTTTAATGACCAGTTGTTCTCTTACTGGCTTTGATTTCATGAAACAACAGACATGAAAATAAGCAGAAAACGGAGAAGAGTATCAGTTTTTTGTTCCTTGCCGCCAGGTTGATGGTTTTCAACTGGGCAGGATGACAAGGAAAAAAATGTAGAATACACATTTCAGACTTTATGACAAATTTAAAGGTATTTGTCTTATAATATTGAATTGGAAGTGCTTCTTCTCATGTTACTGCTTTTAAATTTTGTTTCATATGCATGACTCTTAGGCTTCTGTTATTCTGAGAAATTCAACTGTTTCTAAAGAACAGTGCTACAGTGTGAAGTTCTGTTTAAAAGGTGTTATAAGGTATCTTGACCTCTGTCTAACATTACGCAGAAAATTTAAAAATATCAGACATCTGCCAAGACAGTGCTGCCTACCTGAGCCTGCAAAGTGAGTGAACCAGTATCTCTGGCAAGTGTAATCCATTCATTTCTCACTGACTGAGAAGAATGGACAGACCAAACCTTTCAGGACAATTGTGGTGCCCATAATCACACAGCTATGGATTCAGCATTTCCCAAGTTGTAATGCAGTGTGGTAACTTGATGCAGCCAGATCCTGATACCATTTTCTGTCTCTCTGTGCCTAGCTCCACATCTTTCTTCACAAAGGAAGTTAATTGGAATACAATGCATGTTTCCTGCACTGCTCCAGAAGTACAGGTTGTAGGATGGGTCAGGGACACATAGCTGCAGTCTAAATTACCATCAGTTTCTGGGGAGAGCTGAAAACACAGTTTTACAATTTTGACAGCCTAAGGAATAGCTCAGAGCTGACATCCAAGCAGTCAAAGAAATGAAATACTGAAGCTGTCTCAACAGTTCCCTTCTTTGACGTGGACAGGAAAAATATGCATCTAATCCAGGTATAGAAGCTACCATAAAATTGAATGATTCACAAATGGTTTGGGAGACTAGAAGGCCCTGGCAAAAACAAGGGCTTTTTTCATGACTAGCAGAAGTAATGAAGTTTAGTTACCTATCAGTGTGCTTGTACGTGCCACCAACACACTTGTGCAGTAATCCCAGGCTGACACTACCCTGGCTGGTTTCCCATTCCCTTCTAAACAGATTTCCCTAAATTTCTGCAGAGAACACCAGCTTCTGGCTTCTAGGAGAACAAGAGGCAGCTCACATTGTGGCTAGGTCTGATCTACACATGCACTGACTGGCAGGCCAACCAAGCCTGCTGACTGGCAAGTCAACAGGTTGAACAGAACAGAAAATTTCTGAATCAGTGCTGCAGCTTTTTCTATACCTGGGGCACTAATTTGAGTCCTTTCTCTACTTCCAGCTGCTAAGTTTCACTCAAATTGTAGGAACTTGACTTTGTGACCTCTATCTCTGTATCAAATACAGCTGAAATTAAGTGGTGGCTTCAGAAGTTATCAGGAGACAACACAATCCTATGTGTCTTGTTTTGTTCAGGAACTGGGCATGAAAACACTGTAGCATAATCACTGTGAAAATAACTAATGAATTTTATGTCGCTTACTGTTTTCGTTCAGGAGTTACACCACCCAGCTATAACAGAACACAGATTTTTACACGGTGATAGCATAAATGAACCCAGAGAATGTAGAGACTGTTTCAATAAAGCTGGCTTTGTTTTGCTACAGTGAACAGGACCCTAAATATATATCACTTCATAAAGGTGAAAATTTAACAGAAATAGATTTTATATATATTGTTTTTAAACTTACCAAGACTGTAGTTGTCTGCCTTTCATGGAGATCCCTGCTTCTCTTCCAATTCCATGCTGTCCCTCCTAAGCCTGAAGAGAGGTTCAGTGATACATAGCTCAGTAAAAGAACAGCGGCATTAAGTCTAATTAATTTAGTTAGCATACCTGGACTTTTCCTTTGTGGGGCTTTTGGTTGGTTTGGGTATTTTTTTTTAGAATAAGCATAGGGATTTTTAAAGAATCACCTTAAAATCCTGATCCTACTGCCTAGATCCAGATCCAGATATCCCAATTTAGGAAATAATTTTTAATAATATGCAAGTCCCAGTTCCCTTTTTTATAAATGTCATCCACAGTGCTCTGCTTACCCCTTCTATTGATCTAGCACTAAATTTTGACTTGTGTGTTTCTCACCAAAAAGGCATAGTAGAAATCAGAGATGTTTATTTGTTATTGGATTCCCGGAACTGATGAAAGAAGGAAAGAAACTGAAAAAGTATAATGACCTCTCCAAAACTCCAATAAAAAGACGAGAGACAAAGGAGAGAAACAAAGAATAGTCATGTGGAAAAGTTAATAGAAAACTGGACATTAGAGGAAAGGTTAGCAGGAAACAATGGGTGTAAGAAGAGTCAGGGAAGTGAAAGTGATTTAACCAAAAAGGGGGATTGAATATTGAACACACATTCAAATCTGAGCCCTGGCTCCTTACCCTGCTAACATGCAGGCTCACACTTTGGCACTAGTCTGGATCCAACCTACGGGTTATCAGATATGCAAAATCAAGTACGAAACACGAGGGACTAACTCTTCTCTCAAAAGCCATACCCATGCAAGTATTGTGACTTAAGTACAAGATTTTTTAATTGTTTGATGAAGCAGAATGTAAATAGTTAAGTGTTTAAAGTTAATTCAAGAACCAGGTCTCAAAAAGAAAACTAAAGAAAAAGTGGCTGAGAAAGAAAAAAGAAACAGATTGTTGAATCTGTATTAAAAATAAATGACCTCTGGGTTATATCTCAATGCACTCTGCCTGAAAACTACTGCTTCTTTCTGGCTCAAGTATTAAATTTTATTTTTAATACACAAAATGGTAAATAACCCTGGCAAAGGTTAAATTAGTTCAGTGGTTGTTAACAGTACTAAAGTAATTCTTAACAGAGGGTGTAGTTCAGTTATTGCTATAAAGGGCTCACCATGTCTCCTGCCTATTTAAACACACTTGCACTTCCAAACCCAATTTGGTAAATAGCTGGGAGAGGGTTAATATCCCATATTCCAATCTCTATGGTAACAACCATAGAGAGAGGAGAAAATGTGGAAATCATAAGCTGCTAGGAGGGTTCTGTCCCTTCTACTCCTCAGTCTACAGTGCAATTACGAAAGGAAAACAGAAATTGAGCCACTTTTTGAAATACCATAAAAGGTCTGGGGCATCTCTCAGCATCCTGTGAACTTCTGATCACTGTGATCTGTCTCTTGAAGTACAGACCATCCTGTACACCATTATTTTAAGCTGTCACCTATCTAAATGACCAGGGAGACAACATCGACACCCAACAACTATACTGTTACACACACAAACCCCCCTGCTACCAATATTCCATCCTTTATCTACAGCTGTAAAAAAGGAAACTCCCTGTTTTTAAGATGTACTCTTAATAGATCCATACATATAAGAATCACTACTTAATGAAGACAGGGTGCCAGAGTAAGACTAAAGACCTGATTAAGGCACTTAGTTAGAGACAGCATTAGTTCCTCTATAGATTTCATAAAATGGCTAAGTAAAATAATATTTTGTTCTTCTCAGGAGAATTATGAGCATTACTAAAATTTTATGAATGTTTTGAAGCTCAGATTTCAAAATTTCCCAGAAATTGGGAAACCAGAGAAGCAAATGAACAACTTACATCAAGCTGTCTTGAAAGAAATAAATTGAACAGCATTCAAGCGAACAAATTAGTACTAGCTAAAGCATTTCCAGATCCCTTGCTCCTGCATTCATTTCAGTAGTGTTTAATTTAAATGCTGGCATACACGTTTGCAAAGTTTAAGCTTCAATCTTTCAAACAATTCCACATATCTGAACTTCACTCCTCCAAGTAGTGCTACTGATAAAACTACTCGTGAACAGAGTTAACACATGCACAGAACTAAGGTTAAAGCCAGTAATAAAGAAATTAGCTAATGAATTCAGTGTATCACTAACAATTATTTTTGAAAAGTCAAGGACAGCTAAGAAAATAGCAAATACTGAGAAATTAACAGCTGGAATACTGGGGGAGAGGAAGGAGGAGAAATTAGGGTATGGTCCCAACAACTACCCTACAAAAATCTCACTTCAATACCTATTAAATAACAGAATCAATGCTAGGAAGAAAAAAATAATAGAGCATCCCCTCAATAACTTAATAGTCATGACAACCACACTTATTTTCTCACCATTGATGAGTCCAGTTCAAGGCTGAAGTTCATGGGTGCTGTGGAGAAGATCACTTGGCAACTGCTCTGCTGTAATTAATCCATGAATAAAGAATGGGCTTCAGTTTTCACAGATACCAAGCCAGCACTTTTCACAACCATTAAATCCACAAAAATATTAAAACATTTAGAAGTTACAGGTAGGACATTTTAGCAGAACTCCACCATGGAACCTAAGTTTAATAACAAATCTTTCTTAAACCCTCAGGGACATGTTCATTATTATGACTCAGGCCTATAGCTACGTTAGAGTCACTATTGTAAGACCTGAATGAAATACAGTAAATCCAACCTTTCGACTATACCATTAGTCTTTATGCTACACTGAGCATTTTAGAGGCTGAAAAAAAAAATTAAATTGCAAGTTGGCAGTTGAAAAATCAGGAGGTAGTCTACAATTAAAAAAAAAAAAGAAAACAAAAACAAAAAAAGTACTTTTGTTTTTTCCCTCTCTACGTTTATAGGAAATCTCATAAACTAGATGCAAGTCCTAAATCAGCACATACCTCTTGCAGTCCTTACTGCCTACAGAAGCACCCCTAGATCAGGTCTATACTGGCGAATGCAGGAGTCTGTTTTCACTGTACAATAGTAAATGCTGTCCACTTCAGTCCTTTCTATATTACAACCTCTATCATTGCTAGCAGACTGAAATTGCAAAAGTAATGAATTCCAAATCCTGTATTTGTCAGGGTAAATCAGAGACTGGCTACAGAAGGAAGCAGAAAACTCATACGTGAAACAGGACGTTCAACTACTGTTACTAGGTTATTAAACTGAAACTTTAAACTTCAACTGATATAAAATTTACAGAAGAGGTCTGAAGGGAAGCTTACATGAGTCTATAAGAGGGATCTAGAAGGCAAGACGAGCATCAGGGGAAAGTCAGGGCTCAAATCAGAAAAATAAACAGAAAAAAAAAGTGGAATTCCCACTGGCAGTATATCCGTGTGCCATACAAACACAGACTACCAAAATAATATGTAAATGTGCAATTACTGAAAAGACTGTTATAATTACTAGATGTGGGTGTATCTTGGTTCCCTCCAACTGGTCTAACTTACCTAGGAACTGGACCAGATGGAGGTAATGGAATAACATGCAAGTACCCAGGCAAGCCAAAGAATCTAACTAAAAAGTTACACAGTAATGACACAATGCCAGTTTTCATTAAAACAAATTCCTCTAATCCTCACAGTTATACAATAAATCTCAGAAACAGATAGCAAGGTAATTTGTAAAGTAACGTGTGCCTGAGTCAGAAGACAGCCTCCAGCTTTCTAATCATCCCTGACTAGCTATGAGCTGCTGTGCCATTTTGGCAGAGAAGTACCTTGCTTTGGTTTTGTCCTCTTTCAGCTGGACCTAGGCAATTCAGTATATCTAAGCACAAAGTCTGCCACATGTAGGAAACTCGAAGTACAGGAAGCTGGGAGGATGTCACCTCAGCAAACGTGGGTTATTATAAGTCCCTCTCTTCCACTCTATACTGATTTTCTCCAGAATCTTAAATTATAAAGGTCTCAAGATCCTCCAGGGCCTAAATGCAGGATTCCTAAAGAAATGCCTACTAGGTCTCTAGACTGGACCCAGTTGTCAACTGTTCCCCCCTTCTGATATAAGAGAACTTGTGCAACAAGAGGGAAAAAGCTATTATTTCTAGAGACAGAACTTTGTCGGAGCTGGTGCAAGTCTATGCAATGAATGTGCCTAGGAGCTAAGGGCCATCAGAAACCTAACTGCATTTTGCTTGAAGAACAAAACACAGTCCTTTGACCTTGCCCCACTAACATAAATACATAACACGTATATGGAAGAAAAGACCGATAAAATAAACAGAAAACATCCAACTGCACACGCTCCTTCTCCTGGCAACAAGAGAACAGATATGACAAATGCTGGTCATGTCACTTATTACAGTGTGAGGGGATTCTCTGACAATATAACGACACTCTCTGAAGAGAAGAATCTGTAACAGAGGACAGGCACTACTAGAAGGTGTACAGGTAGTGCTGTAATGAGAACTGTATGAGGACAGGAGCCCATTACAGAAACTGCAGCTTAACCTCATATTTGCTACCGCAGCAGATAAGACATCCACCATCCTGATGAACCCAAGTTGTTGGGAATGGAAATCTGATCTAAAGAATTAACATCACGTTTAGTGAAGCTCAAAACCCTTTCTCTCCCTTCTGCACTCAGCTGGGTTCCTGCTGTGACTTTCTGGCTTCACTAGTCACTGAGGAAACAAACTGATGATCTTCTCCCAGATGCTACAGCCAGAGAATGCAATACCCACCTCCTATTACATGGATTTTTAGACTACAGCAATTGTCTTTCTCACTTGTTCTGATACTCAGCTAAATATTCACTCATTCTGATCCTTAAATTATTATAATTGGGCATTATTTAACTTAGGGAAGATGTAAATCAAGACTATTACATTAGGTTTATGTTTCATGCAGTCCTAAGTAATACTGAGAATAATGATTGTGTAATATCACTATTAGCTTCTGAAGTCCAAAATACAAGAGCATATTAATGAAGAGAACTCCTCAGTGTGCTCACACGTACATTTTAGTCTGTACCAGATCGGGGCCTACGTGCATTAAGTATGGAATCTGAGAGCGAGTATTAGATATTAGGGGATGTAAAAATTTCACTTCCGTTAAAAATCTTAATGAAACCTCAGGAATGACATCTGAAAGGATAACAGTGTGATTCATGTAAGAGAATACCATGTCCTGTTAAACAGAATGACGTACTATCTTCTATATCTTATTCTTCTATTATGGTTGGAAAAATGGGTGAAAAATAATAACTAGAATTATTTTAGGGCAAAACTATATATAATCTAAGTACAGAGAAGTGGTATCAGCAACATCATAATTTTATATTTTTCCTTATTATTTTCATTGCTATTTCTACTGCCAAGTCCTCTTTTCACAGGCACATAACCTTCAGAAAAAAAAAAAAAAAATAGAAGACTTACTATCATTCTTTTCAGTTGAAATGCATACTTTCTGAAAATTTCACTCATGGTAATTTTAATAAAATAAGGGCAAAAATGTAAATACACTGCAAATCATTTATATTTCCTCCTTTTTAACAGAAAGGTTTTACAAACTGAAGTTTTTTCATCTGGCTAATTTTCACTGTGAACTTGGTTTAAAAAATTAGGGATCAGTTTCTTTAGCAATACCAAACTTCAAATCCGAGGAAAATACAATAACATAAGTGCATAATGTTATGTTAGCTATATGATTACTTACATGTCATGTTGCCATGCACTACTTTTTCACTAAGGAGCTCCAGAATTACATATTTTCTGAGTAGCAGTAGTTTTCGTAGCCATGATGGACTAAGGTTTTTGAGCCCAAAAGCTTGCTGTTTTCAACTGTCTCAGTTGGTAAAAAAAAAAAAAAAAAAAAAAAAAAAAAAAAAAAAGAGAGAGAGAGAGAGAGAGAGAAATTACCTCTCCCTTCAAAACTTGCTCTGCTTATATTTTTCTCAGTGCAGCTCTAGAAGGGAGCAGTGGAATCATGAGAAGCATTAGGCCCTGAGCCTGTTAACGTTCGTCTGCAAGTAGTCCAACAGAGTTTAAGAGGACTAGCTCATAGACGTGAAGGGAAGATTTTGAAAGTCGGTGGGAGCAGAGCTCCCAAACTCTCATGATGTACTTTTGAAAATCTTCTCCAAAGCCATGGGAACAACAGCTTGCAGGTCTGAGGCCTCTGCTTCTGACCGCTTTCCTTTCCCTTTTTAAATGCGACTCCGATTTTTTAAAAAAAAAAAAAAAAAAAAAAAAAAAAAAAAAAGCAGCACCGAAGTCAAAAATCCCGAGGAGCCGCTCGCAGGGATGCGTTCGGTCTCTCTACAAAGGCAGGGGTCCGCACAGCCCGAGGAGAGCTCACAGGAAAGGAACCTCCAGCAGTCAAAAGTCAAGTGCAGAGTAGTGGTTCGGGCGGCACTGTAGCCTGCCTTCCCTCCCTGGCTTTCGGCAGCTCGCAACCTCCATCTCGGTTTCCCCATCTGTGAAATGGGGATAGGAGCGCTAACCCAACTTTCAGGTACCTTAGGATCAGTCAGAATTTGGGGCGGCGGGGTGGGGTGGGGTGGGGGGGGGTTGCGGCGTTAAAATGAAAGTTCGCGTTTTCCTCTTCCTCCTCCTCCTCCTCCTCCCCCCCCCCCCCCCCAAGCACTGCGAGCAGCCGAGGCGGGAGCGCTCTCGGAGTTGAACCTCGCTCCGTTCAAGTTCCTAGGAGAGATTTTTTTTTTTTTTTTTTTTTTTTTTTTCAAAATGACCAGCGTACGGCGACTCCGGGCCCCGATCCGCCCCGAGATGCGCCCACACAGCACCGCTCGGCTCCGCTCCGCCACAGGCTGTTCGCAAGCCCGGGCGGGGGTGGGGAGCGGGGGGGGGACACACACACACACACGATTGGGGAGAAAAAGGGGGACGGGGACGGGTGAGAGGGGAGGGGGGTCGCCGGGGTCCGCTGCCGCGGAGCCGGTGCGGCGGAGCGCGTGAGGCGGCGGGAAGAGGGAGCGGCGGCTGCCAGGGCGGGATCGGGCCCGCGGGCTGCCTCCGCGCGATGTGGGCAAGCGCCGAGCGCTTCAAACCCTCCGGCCGCGGCTTTTTTTTTTTTTTTTTTTTTTTTCCTTTTTTTTTTTTTTTTTGGGGGGGGGGAGGTGGGTGGCGGCGGCTGCAACCTGAGCGCTGCGGGAGCCGCGGGGGTCCTCGGAGCCTTGAGGCGGCGGGGGGGGGGGGGGGGGGGGGGGGGGGGGGCGCTCTTCATATTTTCCTCAGGTCCTCTGGCGCACATCCCCCCCTCCCCCCGCCGGCTTCCTTTCGCTACCTTCCCAAAACGCGCTGCCCCCCCACCCCCCCCCCCCCAAGCCCCCCCCTCAGTGTCCCGTCGTCCCCCCCCCCCCCCCCCACGGCGCCTTTACCTTGACAAGTCCGCGGGGCCGGCGGAGGTCTCGCTCTCTCTCCCCCCCCCCCCCCCCCCCCCCCCCCGCCTCTCTCTCCCACACACATCTCTAACGCGCCACCTCTCCCCCACGGGCCGGGACTCCGGGTGACATTTCTCCCTCTCCTTGCCCCCCCCCCCCCTTCTTCCTCCTCCTCCTCCTCCTCCTCCTCCTCCTCCTCCCCCCCTCCCCATTAGTGGCGGTTGGGTTGCTGGCGCGGGAGCGCGCGCTAGCGGGGAGGGCGTGGAGCGCGCGCTGGCCGCGAGCGGGGGGGGGGGGGGGGGGGGAGGGGCGGCATTGACAGCGAGCGCCGTGTCCGTAGCGCTGCCTCAGCCCGAGCGACTCTCTCTCTCTCTCTCTCTCTCTCTCTCTCTCTCTCTCTCTCTCTCTCTCTCCCCCTCTCTCCCCCTCTCTCCCCCTCTCTCTCTCTCTCTCTCTCTCTCTCTCTCTCTCTCTCTCTCTCTCTCCCCCCCCCCCCCCCCGCCCTTCCCCGCGCGCGCGCCCCCCCCCCCTCCTCCCCCTCCCGTTCCCTTCCCGGCATGCCCTAGGGCAGCGGGGCTGGCTCTAACGAATTTGAATGAAGAGCCCTGCTCTTTCGGCGCCATTTTCGAGTGATGCCCGATCGCATCGCTGCCGCGGGGGAGCCGCGGCTCGGGGGGCCGCCCGCCGCCGCCGCCAAAAGTCACCTCCCTTCCCACCCCCGCCGCCGTCCCCGTCCCCCCCCCCCCCATCTCCTCTCCCCCCTCGCCGCCGCTACCACCGGCCGTGCTTCGGAGCGGGTGCCGCCGCCGGCATAGGCGGTAAGAGCCGGGGGGAATTGGGCGGGCGGGGGAAAGCCCGTCTTCGGCAAACGGGGGGGGGGGGGGGGCAAGCCGTACCCCGCCTGCCGCCGGGAGAAGTCGCCTCAGGAGCCCGGCGGGCAGCAGGCGGGAGGTTCCCGGAGGCGGCGGCAGGTTCTCGCCGCTGGCTCCTGGGCGGATCTGTCACTCGCTTCCCTCAGCCTCGGAGGGGTCGGGGAGCGGGCGGGAGCGGCTGTCTCCTCCGGCAGGTAACCCCCCCCCCCCCCCCCGCTTCCCCGGGGGCGGCGGCGGGCAGCATCTCGCCCAGGCGGGGATCCCGGGAGCGCACACACACACACACACACACACACCCCCGCTTTACAGCCCCGGTGGCGGCCCGCCCCGGGGAGAGCGGCGCGGAGGCGGGCGGGGGCAGCCCGGGGCGGGCGGGAGGCGCGGGACGGCCGGAGCGGAGGGTCGCGCCGCGGCCCCGGTGCGCGCCCCGCTCTCCCGTGACATGACATGACAGGCTTCCCTCTGATCTCCTTCTTCTCCCCCCCCACCCCACCCCACCCCGCGCTTTACCACCCCCCACTCCCCCGCGGATACCTCCCTCCCGCCCTTCTCCCCCGCCTCTCCGCCGTGGAAATTTCGGGGCAGCGCTCGGGACACGGCGGCTCTTGCTTCCCGGCGCTGCAGCAGCAGCAGCAGCAGCCAGGATGACTTCCCCACTTACATGCACATCTCCCTTTCTCGCCCTGCCCCCCCCACCCCAGCCTCCCCCCCCCCCCCCCCCCCCCCGCCTCCTCCTTCCTCTCTCCCCGTGTTTTCGTAACCCGGATTAATGCCCCTCCGCTCTTTCTCTTCCCTCTCCCTTCTTCCCCCCCCCCCCCCCCCAAATAAGAGGGCAACCTTCCCTTTTTTTTTTTTTTTTTTTTTTTTTTTCCGCCGTTTGTTTCCTTTCCATGTTAGCAGATTAACTTCGCCGTTTAAGCGCTTTCTCTACCTCCCACTTAAGCGCTTAATTTCCCGTGTCACGATATCGGAGCCGCCTTTAGCAGAAACCTGGGTGACGGTTGTGCTGCCACATGCTATCACATTCATCATCTCTGTCCCTTTGGGTATTAACGAAGGACCAAAGTGCTGTTCATCGCGTTATTGCACAGGGCTATTTTTCCCCCTGTCCTAGCGTTAAAACGGGAGTTTCCTTCCTCAACTAGAGGGGGGGGAAATATAATCCGAGGCCATTTGAATCGTGCCAGCTATTTGTAGGTGTTTTTCCTCTCCTCCCACACACCCCAAAACCGAGTAAATACCCTCCCCATAGATAGCCCAGCCTAATACTGTGATCAGAGCTGGCCATTCACCTCCTCTTCTCCGCCTACAAAATTCTCTGTCTCTGTCACCCGGGTCGCTATTTGTCATTGGCTTAGCTATTTTTTGGTGGCTGTTTCTATGTCATTTCTCGGTGGCCAGCAGCTCTCGGGCTCTCGTAGCTGTATGAGCGCGATCGTGCTTATTGTGATAGGCGCCGAAATCGCTCTCGCAGTCTGTCCGCTGAGCGATTCCCCCGCCGCGCACACATACAAGATGTGACACGGTGCCTTTTCCTCCACGACGCCGTTTAACCCTCTCGGGGCCGGGGTTGGCGTGGGCTCCCGCGGTTCGGAGTCGCGCACACACACGCACACGCAAGACATCTTTTTGTTGCGGCAGCTCCTCGGTGGGAGCTCAGGCAGGGATAGCACCGTGCAGCGGGGCAGGGAGCTCCAGAGCAGCGCGGTAAGCTCAGGCGCTGGCAGGCCAGCGGGCTCCTTCCCAGCTACAATTTCTAGCCTTACTTTTTATTCCTCTTCCTACTTCCCTCTTCACTTTCAGCCGCCCGACCGTTTGCGTTTTGGGGTGGGGTGTTGTTTGGTCTTGTTGTTTTTTTTTGTTTGGGTTTTTTTTTTTGTTTTTTTTGTTTTTTTTTGGTTTGGGGTGAGTGGGTTATTTATTTTTATATATATATATATATATATATTTTTTTTTTTTTTTTTTTTTCCGGAGGCAGGAAGGCGTATGGATATTTTCCCCGATGCCGTGTGCTCGGGGCTGCCGTCGAGCTGGCGGGTGCTCAGGATGCGCAGCGAATGCAGCATCGGGCCCCCCCTCATCCCACCCCCCCCCTCCCCTCCAACCCCCGTTAAGGCGCCCGTTCAGCACAGACTGGACCGGCTGCTGCCCCCCCTGGTTGCCTGCGAGGACGCGGTGCTGGGGCTGGGAGGTTGGACCGGGTCACAGCCTTTCCCCTCTCCTCTACCCCTCCCCGACCCCCCCAACCTCCCCCCCACCCCCCCCCCCCGCACATCCCTCCGAGGCGTTCAAAGCCAAAACGGGCCGCCTTGCGCTTAAGCACCCTCGCCACCGAAAATAACGAGTTAACCGAAGAACGTAGGAGGGACATAGAGAAGAGTTGGGGTGCAGAAGTGCTGGTACAAAAGATTTCTGTGTACATGGCTGAGAGCGTGTAGTCTTAAAGTGAAATGCAAAACTTAGCGTTTCCAGCATGGCAACTGGATTGTGATTCACGGTATTTTTCTGTGTAACACAGAAATACAATAGTTCAAGGAGGTTTTTCTGACTCGAATCCTTAGTTTCCCTGGATTCTTTTAATCCAGTACACAAATTAGACTTTTTCAGTCTTTTTTTTCCTGGGAATAGCCGCTTTGTTTGTCTCCACAATTTATACCTTTATGTCCTGATAGCTAGAAAATTCAGTTTAACCTCTGAAATTGCGATACTAGGAAGATCCTATTGAAATTTAGCACTTATTTCTTTAGATTTGCAACATTACTTTCAGAGTGTTTTCAGAAACGTTTTTAACAGTCAGTATGGGAATGTGCACAAAGCTGTTTCATTGTAGCTGTGTGTACTTCAAAATATCAGGATTTGGAGAGATTTACACTATTCAACAGTGGAAGTATACTCACAGACACTGACTGACTTTCACTTTCAAGGAAATAACTGTCCTGATTCATAGCTAATTTAGGAAAAAATTTTCTATAATTCAGTATTGTGCAGGTGCGTATGCATTTTTTCCCCACTATTCGACAGTCATGTTCAATAGCGTGCACTTAATATCTATTTTTAATTGTAATTAAAATCTGTGCTTAGCACATATCTGACTACATAAAACAACTGTTCTTTTCAGCTTTTTTATTTCTCAGCTGCACCATTCCCATATTTTACAATTACATAAAGGTGGGTGTGGCTAAAATGAAAGCAGTAAGCAATCTAATATCAATATATAGTGTATGTTAAGTAGGTTTTCCTTTCTTATATTTGATGTACTCCTTATTTTGAGATATTTGGGGGGGGAAAAACCATGTAGTTTAAATAGACCCTTGTAGAACTGCTTGCATTTTTCACCATAGTTAAAATGTCAAACATTAACGGGGATTACTTGGCCCTGGAAAAGTTACATTCGGAGGAAATATCAAATGAACTTAAAGATTTAAACATATATATTTGTATTATATGGATAAGTAGAAGTTAAAGTTCTGTGCTTAATACAATATTGCTTAGGTATACCATCTGTCATAGTGTGTGGGTATTTTTTTTTAATTTTTAAATTTTTTTTTTTACTTTATTTCTTTTCAGTCTAATCCTTTATCTTGATTCTTAGGAAAAACATCCAAAATAAGCTTCAGGTGCCTTTTTTTTTTTTTTTTTTTTTTTAATTCTCCCCTCTCTCTAAGTCCACTAAGTTGTACTGAAAGTTTCCAAGAGGTACTCTTTCATCCCTTCCATTTTTATAGATACAAATCTACTGAAGCTTGGAGTAACTCTGAGATTTTTAATTTTCAGCAATAACAGTAATTTGAAAGTGTGACTGTATATCTATGTGACTTTTTCATGTGTTAGGGTAGTATTACAGAGGAAGCTTCTTGTAGTAACATTTTAAAGGCAGGCTGTATATACGATATCAAGGTGTCATGGGGTTATTTTTTT